AAAAAAAAAAAAAAAGTTATAGTACTGCTTTCTGCAAGAACCAAAGTAGAGTGTGAAAGATCCCTAGGATGAAACCAATATTATCTTGCAATGTGATGTACTGTAAAAAAATGGTCTGTGATCCTTCTGATAATCTTTGCTGTCACAGACAAAAGAGATTTTGTAATCAGTCTCTGTAAATCAGATTATATAGTTTAAAAATACCAGTAGTTAGGGTCTTTCTTGCTAACTTGTTCTGTTTTCAAATCCCAAATGCAGTAATTCATGTAAGCACAATTCCAGAACACCCTGTTGTCAGCACCTCTTACACACTTTACAGTAGACCTGATTTTTTTTTAAAGTGGGAAATTATAATTCCTTGTATCATTATACTCCCCAGACTACTCACAACAAGAAATCTGTACTTTAGTTTTATTGTGAAATATCCCAAATAAATATCTTAAATGGCAATTAAGCAGCACAAACATGAGCAGGAATATGCATGCCTTTGCTGTCTTTTTACGAAAGAAGTGTCTATCAGGATAAATTTAGGAAGGAAAGAGATTTGTCCTAGTCTGAGAAGTACCACCCCATTCAATGTCCTTTTTGTAGTGAGGGGCCCAAAACTGAACACAGGAATGGAGGTGCGGCCTCACCAGTGCCGAGTACAGGGGTCAGATCCCTTCCCTGTCCCTGCTGGCCACGCTATTGCTGACACAAGCCAGGATGCCATTGGCCTTCTTGGCCCACTGGGCACACTGCTGGCTCCTGTTCAGCCGGTTGTCAATCACCCCCCAAGTCCCTCTCTGACTGGCAGCTCTCCAGCCACTCCTCCCCAAGCCTGTAGCGCTGCTGGGGGTTGTTGTGGCCCAAGGGCAGCCCCCAGCATTTGCCCTTAGTGAAACTCCTCCAGTTGGGCTCAGCCCATGGCTCCAGCCTGTCCAGGTCTCTCTGCAGAGCCTCCCCACCCTCGAGCAGATCAACACTCCCACCCAACTGGATGTCATTTGCAAACTGACTGAGGGTGCACTTGATCCCCTTGTCTGGATCATCAATAAAGATGTTCAACAGGAGTGGCCCCAAAACTGAGCCCTGGGGGACACCACTGGCTGCCAACTGGATTTAACTCTGTTTACCACAACTCTCTGGGCCCAGTCGTCCAGACATTTTTTAACTCAGTGAAGTGTGCGATTGTCCAAACCTTGAGCAGCCATTTTTGCCAGAAGAATGCTGTGGGAAACGGTGTCAAAAGCCTTGCTAAAGTCAAGGTAAATTACATCCACAGCCTTTCCCTCATCCAATAAGCAGGTCACTCTGTCATAGAAGGAGAAAGCCTTGCTAAAGTCAAGGTAAATTACATCCACAGCCTTTCCCTCATCCAATAAGCAGGTTACTCTGTCATAGAAGGAGATCAGGTTTGTCAGGCAGGACCTGCCTTTCATAAACCCATGCTGACTGGACCTGAGCATCTGGTTGTCCCTCATGTGTTGCATGATGGTGTTTAGGATGAGCTGCTCCATCAGCTTCCCGGGCACCAAAGTCAAGCTTGACAGGCCTGTAATTTCCCAGATCATCCTTCCAACCCTTCTTATAGATGGATGTCACATTGGCCAATTTCCAATCAGTCGGGACCTCCCCAGTCAGCCAGGACTGCTGGTAAATGATAGAAAGTGGTCTGGTGAGCACCCAGCCAGCTCCTTCAGCACTCTCAGGTGTATCCGATCTGGTTCCATGGACTTGTGTGTGTCTGTGTGATGCAGCAGGTCACTGACAGTCTCCTCCTGGATTGCAGGGGGGTCGTTCTCCCAGTCTCTGACTTCTGGCTGAGGAGGCTGGATTCCCTCAGTACAACTAGTCTTGTCATTAAAGGCTAAGGCAAAGAAGGCATTAATCACCTCATCCTTCTCCTCGTCACTTGTTACCAAATTTCCTCCTGCATCTAGCAGGGGGTGGAGATTCTCCCTGGACTTTCTTTCGGTACTGACATACTTACAGAAACTTTTCTTGTTATCCTTGATTGCACAGGCCAAATTAATTTCCAGTTGGGCTTTAGCCCTTCTGATTTTCACCCTGCATATCCTCACAGTTTGGTATTGCCTCTGAGCTGGCTGAGGTCATCCCTGTTCTATCATCCAGGGCACCAGTGAAGGCTTCAAGGAGCACCAGCCCCAAGATTGACCCCACAGGAATGTTGCCAGCTGGATGAGGGCATCACTGACACACTCCTGCAGCCCTCCCACCATCCAGGTTTACACTCACCTTCTTTTCTTCTTCTCCTGGCCACATCTCTCCACTCTGCCATCAAGGAGACCAGGGGAAACCATGTCTCAGACCTCAGAACTCAGAGGTTCATGATAAGTGGCCTCCATTGCTCTCCCCTTGTCCACAGCCCAGTGTTCCCACAGCAGCCAGCAGGTCAGACAGACATTACTTGCCCTTGGTAAATCCTGCCTGGCTTTCCCCATCTACCAGCATGTCCTCCCTGGGCCTGGACCATCACATGCCCAGGAGGACATACTCCATTTTCTTCCTGGGAGAAAATATCTCAGCTCTGCAACAGGCTGTGGCCAAGGGCCATCTATGGAGGGTGGAGGAAGGGGAGGGCAGGAGTCAGCAGCAGCCAGGGGCAGAGGCAAGGGGCAGCCAGTAAAACCAGAGGACTCCCCAAGGGACACGGCTTGGGGACACAAATGGCACCATCATACCCAGCTTCACAAGAGGCAAGAGGCACCTCCCAAACCAGACTCAGTGGAAGGCAGTAGGGGTAAGCAAGGCTAGGTACTGGCATCCTCTCCCTGGGTTACAGGAGCTAGAGCTGAAGGGCAGAGGCTGGGGATGTAAACATGGGCATGAGTAGGCAGAAATACAGTTTCTTTTCCACAAGTTTTGTCTTAAAATGCTGACACCTTTTTTTTCCAACCTGTATCCCCAAAGATTCACAATGCAGTGATGTGGTTGTGCAGGAGGAAAGGGTGCCTTTGCTGTGCACCCTCAGGTCCCATCCCTCAGTCCTGTGATGGAAGAGGGGTCTCAGAGTTCATCCCTTGGTGAGGAGAGGAATCTGAGCCAGATGGGCTGCTCAGATTTGGGAGCTTCTCACAGATTCATGAAAAATTATCAAAGCTGTACGTGTTGCTTATATTCTCACAGGATGTTCTTGCACAGAGGCGGAACCGTTTCAAAATGGAAGGAGCACGTGAGAGGTGCCACCATAATGTTCTCAGCACAGAGCCAGCACCTTGGTGCCCCTCACACAGCTGCAGCTCCAAGGCCCCTTAGCCTGGGCAGGAAGGCCAGAGCACTGCCCGTGCCCAAGCATCGGTCCCATAGCTGGGGCAGACGACTGGGCAGTGCCCAGCACCTCTGCCCATGGCTGGTGAAGGTGGGAGTGGGGCAGATGACTAAGATGGAACAACTTACTCTTTATACAGTTTCTCATACAGACCCTCAGTTTTATCATGGCGATTTTGACATCTCTCATCACTCCAGTACATGACACTATCAGCCTGCACAAAATGCTGAGGGGAGAGAAGCTGTCGACTGCCTACCCCATGCCCAGCACCCACCTGCTGCCCAGGAGCCCCGGGGCCGGCCATGCTCCTCCCCACAGCCTGCCAGGATGGGCACCCAGGGCTTGAAGTGCCACCCCAGCGGCTCCACAAATGCCGCTGCTGCTGGCTCCACGGGGCTCTGCCCAGCCCTGCTGTTGTCCTCACCCTCCTGGGGTGCCACAGCCCCCCTGCTCTGTACCGGCATTGTCCAGGTTGACCAGTCGCCTTGGACCAGCAGGGAAGCGGATCTCCTCCTGCAGTCATGATAGCTGTCCCACCAGCTCTTCTTCTCCACCGAGATGAAGAGGCATTTGCCCCTGTAGAGCACCCAGCCCGAGGGGCAGCAATCTGGGGGCAGGG